ATAATTTTTTATGGTAATGTTCCCATTTTATAGACAAGGAAATTAAAGAAAGCTGTCAAGGATCATATACTTGGCCCTGTTTATTTATATTCTGCCTCATTCCAGATGGACTTGCACTCAGGTTTGAACCTCATCTGTCTGGTTCCAAAGTCCAAGCTCTTTCCCCGACAGCAGACTGACACTTGAGTGTCTGAGAGCGGCAACATAACAGATAACCGGCCAGGAGGAGATCAAGCAGAGGCCCAGTCCAAAGCGTGGGAGGCTGTTATTCCTGGAACACTGCCGCAGGACCCCGCACTGAACCAGGCATCCTAGTGGACGCAGACATACATTCCACACCTATTTTACTCACTTAGCCCCTACTGCATGCCAGGCCCTGCTCTAGGCCCTGGAGGTAAAGCAGTGAACACTCTAGACAAAAACCTCTGCCTTCACGGGACTTGCCATCAAATGGGGAGACGAGCAAGCTGCACAAATGATAATAATCATAGACAGAAAAAAAAAATGCCTTGGAAAAACAGAAGCAGCCCTGAATAGTGTGGTTCAGTTGGTAGGGCATTGTTCCTCAAAGTGAAAGTTTGCATGTTCGATTCCCAGTCAGGGCACAGGCCTGGGTTGCAGGTTTGGTCCCTGGTTGGGGCATGTATGAGAGGCAACCAATTGACATTTCTTTCCCTTTCTTTCTCCATTCCTCTCTCTCTAAAAATAAATAAATAAAATCTTTAAAAAAAAAAGAAACAAAAACAACCAGAGGTAATTGGTAAGCTTAGGTCAAAGGAGTAAGATGTATGCTCTGGGTGGGAATGAGATTTAAGAGAAACCTTTTTGGATGAGAGGACTTTTGAGTCCAGGTTCAATTATACCCATCTGTAAAATGGAGATAGTAGGTAATAATACTAGGCTGTACTATATAGGGCTGTTGTGAGGATTCAATGAGGGCATGATGTCATGCCTGAGAATTATCTAGTGGAGTATCTGGCAGCTAGGAAGTCCTAAATAAATCCCAGTATTTTGCCCACTTCTTTTACTGTCTATGGTCATAGTCAGTTCAGGCTGCTGTAACAAAAATACCTTAGACTGAGTGGCTGAAACAACAGAAATTTATTCCTCACAGTTCTGGAGTCTGGGAAGTCCAAGATCAATGTATCAGCCAGTTAGGTTTCTGATGAGAGCCTTTGTCTTTGTTTTGTCCTCACGTGGCAGGGCATGAGCGGGAAGGAGCGTCCTTCTGGCTCTTCTTATTAGGGGCTTATTCCCATCCCTAGGGCTTCACGATCATGACCTAATCACCTCTCAGAGGCCCCAACGCTAAATCCCATCACACTGGGAATGAGGGTTTCAGCATATAAACTGGAGGGGGGATATCGACATTCTGTCCATAACATCTATTTTGTAATAAACAACAAAATCTCCTTGGGAGACTTCTCATTGCCCATAGGTTAAAGTCCACAATTCTTAACACGCCCTGCCAGGCCCTGCCAGATCTGCCTCGGGCTTCCTTCTCAGCCTCACCCTTCCGCACATCCTCTCTGCTCGCGCTGTCCTTATTGGGCTGCCTTCTCCTGCTGCAGCAAATCTTCTCCCCTGCTGTTTCCTCTGCCGGAAATCTTTGTTCCACACTCCTTTCTGCCCTCCCATCTTTGGCTGATCTTTTCTTATCTTTCAGGTCCGGGGTATTTCTCTGGGAACTCCCACTCTGAACGTAGGGGTTCCCCTGCTGTACTCGCCCATTCTCCCTGTCCTTTTTATTCCCCCAGGACTCACCGCAAGTTTTTGGGTAATGTCTGTCTTTTCCACTGGACTTTAAGGCCTGTGAGGGCCAGGACAATGTCTGGCTCCTTCACTGCTCTACTGCCAGTATCTAACAGTGTCTGGGACAAAATAAGCACTCGGTAACGTTGGCATGAACAAAGAAAAGAGGTTCCTTCTTGACATGTGAGTTTAGCTACTTAGAATTGGGACAGAAGCTCAAAGCCCCCCGCAACAGGAACCAAGTGAGGGTCAGAGGCGATTCAGACCCGAGGGGAAGAATTTCTGCTGCTGTAACCATGGGCTACATGGCATGGGTTGAGACATGGGTTTTTTCAGGACCAGGGGCATCGCACACAGGCTGACTTGAGAGAAGATGAAGCACTCAAGCAGCATATTTAACCTTCTCCCCAGAGAGGGGAAGTGACTCACCCACGGTCTCCAGGCATGGGAGTGAGAACTTATTCTAGCCCTTTGAACAATGCAGCTGTTGCCTCCAACCTCAGGAAGAGAAAGTTAAGACTTGGACACAGAGTGGTGACAAACCATGAAGAGGGGCTGAAGGTCCAGGCTTGTGAGACCTCAAGCAAGTCATTTCGCTTCTCTGGTCTTTAGTTTCACCGTCTGTAATAAGTGTCCTAGGTCAAGTACCTTGGTAAGCAGACTCTGAGATGAAAATCTGCACACAGGGGGTTTCCCGGGGATCAATATAATCGGACAATGAGAAGCAGGGCTGAGCAGGAGAAGGGCTGGATTGCTGGCCTCGGCTAATCCCGGAAGGAGCGCTAGGGCTGGGATAATGCTTTAGATTTGTTTCAAATGGAGCTAAAGGGGCCAGGCCTCTGTACACCCCTGTCCCTTCAACCAGTCATCGGAGGCAGACTGCCTGGAGGTGGCATAACCTTGAGCTAGGTAACTCCCTTTGACTTAGGGCAATTCCCAGAGAGGGACTCAGCTGAGGTCTTTCCCAGTTGAATGGGGGTGTGGGAAGGAACGGGAGCCAGAGTCCGGGCTGCACACCGCAGCATCCATTACAGGACAATGTAGACGAGCAGTTTTCTAACTGTTTCGTGGCGTGCTCGGGTTCCAAAGAGGTGCTTCAGTGGGTGGGAAAGTGCCCTTCCTGGGTGTGCTTTAGATTCTGCAAAAATCCAACACATTTCCTTGGAAGAAAAGGCTCTGCTGCTAGATTGTAAATGCTCTTAAAGCACCTCATAATTCTGCTTTGAAGTGCCGATCACAATTATAATTTACATAATTGTCTAATGATGTAATGTGTGTCTCCTGCACTAGACAATAAATGCTAAGAGGGCAGGAACCATGCCTGGTTTGTTCACTGCTCTGTGTCTGGGTCATTTACATATTTTGTGCACAATGTCGATTGAATATAAGCATGGCCCAGGTATCAGGACCGCAGGGAAGCTGTTAAAGACACAAATTTCTGAGTTCTACCTCCAACCACTGGTCCTCTAGGAGAGTCTGAGACACAAAAAGTTTGTGAATCACGTCTTCATTCCACTTTTCCTAGGGCTCTGATGAACATTTGAAACCTGCTGGAGACTCACCCAGATCCTTTCTACTCACTCTCAGCAGTCCTCAAGCCAAGCACGGCTACTTCAAAAGCCAAACAATCAAGCCACCAGCGACCTCCTACCACCTCCAGCCTGGGTAGATGTGCCCAGGGTGGCAGGCAGCAGAGGTATAAAATGAATTCATTAGATCCAACCTGGGGCCAAGAGTTTTCAATTCCTTGTGCAAAATGACTTGAACCTAATTTTTTAAAAAGCAGATTGAGGGTATAGGGAGCTTTGGGACAAAAATGGTGTTCTGGAATCAGATGGACAATGGTTCAAATCCTCCCTCAGCTGTGTGACATTGGGCAGATATCTTAGTACTAAGTGGCTCACCCGTGCTGGGTACTAGGTACCTGAACTGTGGGAGGTGGTTTTCATGCGTTATTAAATTCACACAACCCTCCTGACTCTAGGGATTAATTTCATTGCACAGATAAGGAAATTGAGGATGGAAATCGAGGTAACTTGTTTATGGTCAGACGTTACATGTTGGAGCTGGAATTTGAGCCCAGGTTGGTCTGTTAAGTTGGTGTTCCATAGACTCTCACATGAGGTTCCTTTTCTACATCTATAAAATGCAACACCACTCCTTTCTCCCAGGGTTGTTGTGAAGAGCGGTTAAATTTGAAAACATCTGGCAACATTCAATAATGCTACTTGGAAAAGAAATGAAAGCATTTTGTGCCCATTTTCATGGGAGAGGAAATGAGGCACAGTGGACTCGACATCCCTCCGCATCCACCCGCCCCCTTGCCACTGGATAAGTGACTGAGTCTGGACCAGAATCCAGGTTTTGTATGCCAAGTCTGATTTACTCTTTCACATTCTCTTAAATGACTGTAGAAGGAAGAACAAGCCTATTAGGAACACTGCAAAAATGGAAGAGGGTAGAGGGAAAAGGGGACATGAAGTCAGGGGCAGCTTCTTGGAAGAGGCCTTTTTGTGCAGGAGAGGGCTTAGCTCTTAGTCACGAAGCGGTTTTTCTAAGCTAAAGGGAAGTTTGGTGCCCAGGGAAGTTTGGAAGCTTGACCACTGGCACTGGCATAGCATGGGGCAGGGGTGGGGTGGTCACATCTAACTCGTTAGGCCTGGTTCTATCTCCTTGGTGCTAGACAGGGAAGGATGAGGAGCAGATAAGCATAATGTGGTGGGGCAGGTACAGAGGGGGGTCTTCCAGAGATTCTCAAACAGCCTCCCTCTGCCACAGGCAGAGCCCAGTAGCGGAGAAAAACAGCAAGGCGAAATTCCCAGGCCTCAGGGTCAAGCGGACTCCAGGCGGAATCCGGGCTCCACCACTGACTAGCTCTGTGGTCTCAGCAATGGCACTTTACCTCTGAATTTCAATTCTTCCCAAGAGTTGGTACAGATTCAGAGAAATGGCTTCCAAGTACCCAGTCAAGGACAAGGCTTCGTGAGAAAAATAACTTGGCCATTATTTTTCCATAGAGCGTGACCTGCCACTAGTGGGTGAAAGGGCTCAATACCGAAGGTACAGAAGTAGTTTCAATGCCAGCCACTCCCAGTCTTGCAGTCACTGGGCACAAGTGCCCAGTAGGGTTGGGGCTAGCAGGTCAGGCCCGTGATGCAATCATGGCTTCCTGCTAACAGGTGAACCATGACCCTTAGGAAATGGAAAAACAACTCATTAACAAGAAGTACAAAACAAAACCTTGGTGAGCTTTTATTTCTCATCATACAGAACTGGTAGCAAAGCCAAAGACTTCTGTACTTGAACACTGAATACCCCTCCCCACCCACCTACAGGACATTTACAGAGTCATCATGTCCCCTCTAGAATCCAAACCCCAGGGTGGGGGGCCTCTTCCCTCCAGCCCAACTTCACTGCAGGGTGGACTTCGAGGCCTGCGGCGGTGCCAGTCACTTCCCCACGCCTGCATGGGTATGAAATGTGACACACTGACCAGGCTCCTCTCCTGCCCCACCCCAGGGAGGAGGATCAGAAGCAAGTGGCATCTTGGCCTTTTTTCAGTCACCTCCAAACTGGTCAGAGAGGAGTCACATACTGCCAGAAGAAGGGCAAGGGAAGTCATAATTCACAGCTTATTCGTTACAAAAAGTGCCTGGGATCAGTCCTTGGCTGCTTCTGCCTCCAAGCAATCCACCTAAAATTGAGGAGAGGGGACACAAACTGGATGGTCCTTGGAAGGTAGCCAGGAGACTGACTGGAGACTGACTGCAAGGGTGGGGGTCCCCAGGGGCCCTCAAAATCCTGCAAGATTTACAGTTCACTGCTTGGCAGGTTGGCTTGGGAAACCCAAGATATGGAACTTAGCCCCACCCCTCAGTCTGCAACTTCGGAAATAGAAGTCAAGGAGGTTTGGCAATGTCGCCATGGTCACCTGGCCAGTGGCAGGGTCCAAACAAGAACCATGGGGTCTCCCGCCTCTCCCACTGGGCCATGTGCCACCTAAAAAGGATCAAGTTTTTGGCAAATGTCTGCAGCAGAGCCACAGGAGACAGCAGGGTAGGGTGCCGGGCAGGTGCCGCTCTTGGGAAGAGCAGATTGCCTCGCCCTCCTCCCCCTCCTCGCAGCCACTGACTGTGGCCCTAGAGGTGAGCCCCTGAAGAGGTCTGAACTGCAACCATTAAGGACCAAAATACGGAGAATTTAGACTCTAATACTCCCTAGTCTTCAAAAGGCAAAGTGGCCAACAGAGCTACTCAAATTCCCTAATGATAATCTACTTTTTGATGTAGATTTGTACTAGGGCCTCACACCACCAGGGGTGGGAGAGAAGGGTAAAAAGGTAAAGGAGGTCAAAGAAAGTGAAGTAGGGTCGGGACGATCAAGAAACAAGGGGCCTCCAGACTGCCCGACAGGAACAGGTTTTTGGGGAGCTGGATGCACAGACCCGCTGTGACCCTGACTTTCACATTGATGGGTGAATGGCAGGTAAATGAAAGAGGAAATGAGGGAGGAGGAAAAGGAAAGCTGCTTGGAGTGTCAGTCCCTGGAGGTGTTTGCCTCTCTCCCTCGGGGGCCAGCCAGGGACCTTGCAGTCCAGGAAGGCCCTACTACTTGTGGTGTCAGGGACCCTCCCTGGGGTACACAGGCCAAAGTCAGCCCATTTTACTTCTTGTGCCCTTTGCCTCTGGGTTTAGGGGCAGGAGAAAGGGCACGGCCTCTGGGGATCCGCTAGTCCTCTTCCACATCCCAGGGGCAAAGCTGAGATCCCAGAAATCCTGTCCATTCCAGTGAGAAAACGGAGGGCGTGGCTTCAGGGCTGCACGTCACACAAAAGTCCACCCCCAGAGTGTGGGGAGTGGGTGTGGGACAGAAAGGGATCAGGTCTGTCTCCAGACACAGAAGTTCTTGCAGGGACGATGATGCCCCCAGGGTCAGCGGCTCCGGGCTCAGGTCTTGTGCAGGAGTCAGGTCATGTAGCGGGTGATGGCTCGGAGGGCGTAGAGCAGGGCGGCTTGCATGCGGGCCTCCAGGAGCAGCAAGTTCACGTGGACCTGGGGCACAGAGGAGAGCTTGTCGGTGACAGATGTCAGTTCTCACCATCCCTCCCACATGGCTCCAATCCCTGACCACTCACCGCGCCCTTCCCTTTCCTAAGGCTCTGAACAGCTGGGTGCAATGACTGCTGAGGAATTTCAACATTTGCCTCTATTGTGACTGATCTCCTTATCCCCCAAAGCTAAAAGTTAAGAGCTACCACTGAGTACCTGTTTGGGATTGGAGATTTACATTCGTTTTCTCATTTCACCCTCTCAGCAATCTTGAAATGCAGGTGGTATTTATTCCCAGTGTAAAGATAAAAAAGCTCAGGGAGGCAGAGTGACTTGCCCAAGGTCATACTGCTACTGAGTTATAGTGTTATGATTTCAACCCAGGTCCTCCTGGGTTGCCACTGAGGACCCCGTGGAGCACATTCCCATCTTATAGGTGAGTAAATGGAGTCTGAAATCACAAGTGCAGTAGGGCTTATACCCAGGACAATATGCCCAGGTATCCCACTAGCAGTGCAAACTCAGTCTGGGGTACCTCACCTGGTCCTGACCTCCTGGCCCCCTCCATTGGCCAGGCTCATCTAGTTTCACCCTGTCTGCCCCCCATAGGCCACACCCGTACCTTCTCTGAGTGGCGAAAGTGCCTCCAGAAGAGGCTGTACATTCTTCGGGTGGTCTTCTCTGGGTAGCAGGCTACTGTCTTGATATAGATCTTAAGGTTCCGCTCCAGGAGCTGGTTCACCTCCCCGTAGTCATAGTCGTCATACCTAGATGGAAAGGCCCCAATAGTGTCACTCAGCGCTGCCTCCCAGAACTAGCTCCTCTCCCCTAGTCCCACCCTATGAAAGGAGGAACAGAGAGTAGGGAGAAAAGGCAGAAAACTGCCTTTCCCTTCTCCACCGCCTCCCACGCACCGTTACCTCTGTCTTTCTCTCTCCTAAGCTCCAAGGGCCCTACTTCTGCCTCTGTAACTTGCTTCCTGAGCCTACGCAGCTCAGCTGGTTCACTTCTACTACCTCTGTAACTTTCTCTTATAACTTGGAAAAAAAGGAAGGAAGGGAGGGAGGGAGGGAGGGAGGAAAGGCAGAAGGGAGAAAGCAAATAAAAGTTTGGTTCCTCTTAGAAAAATAGCTGATGCCATATATCACAGGCCAAGAAATGCATAGAGAATAGCATGCTTCATTCGGTACCAACTATGTACCATGTGAACATATACTCATGGAATCCTCAACAACTGTTGTATACTAGTGTATACAAAACTACTGTATACAATATACTGTACTCATCAGTCTCATTTTACAGGTGAAACTGTGGTTGAGAGAAGTAATGTCACTTGCTCTATGTGACACAGCTGGGAACGGGATTCAAACCTAGCTCTGCCTGGCTCCAAGATCATGTTCATAACTCTACTGTAAAGGCCATGGAAGATGGGGTAGGTCAGTGTTAAGTATTTACCCTGGAGAAGGAAGAGGGAAAGGACAAAAAGGAGCTGGTACTCATTTTACAGATGAGCAAACTGAGGCTTGGAGAAGGCAATTAATTTGTTTGAAGTCAAAAAGTAAGTCAGTGACCAGTCTAGAAGCTACTTTGTCATTATCCTGTCCCGTGAGCCAGTGAGTCATCTCAAATCTGTAAGGATGGGGAAGACTGCTTGAAAACTGGAGGACAGATTCAGAAGACAAAAGTATAGGATCAAGAATCATGTTGGAGAATGGAGGAGCCTGGACCTGAGAGCTGGGCAGGATTTAGCCTGTACCAGTCCACCCTCGATCGCCCCTGGCTTAGAAACCTGCCAATGACCAGCAAGATGTTGGCCACTTAGGTACAGCTCAACCCACCAAGTGAAATCTGATTAATAGTAATACCTAGAAATACACATTTGTACCTTTTTAAAAATTGGGGGATTTTTTAAAAAATTGATTTTTAAAAGTTGTTCTTTTTCTTTCTCCCACATCTGAGTGTGTGTGAGACTACAGTGTGATATTTCATTTTAATTGATATTAGAGAAAGAGGAAGGGGGAGAGAAACATCGATTTGTTGTTCCACTTATTTATGCATTCATTGGTTGGTTCTTGTATGTGCCCTGCCCAGGGATCGAACCAGTGCCGAGATGACACTTTAACCAACTGGTAGACTTTCTTTTTTTTTAATACTTGGAATTAAAATGTTAAATGAAAAAAAGCAAGGAAAAAAAAATCACGTGTTCACTAAAATACACTCCTGTTTGATTAAGTAAAATAAATGAATTTATAGGCAAGAAAATCTTGTTTTCATAAACTTATATATGTTCTGATTATTTGTGTATGGAAAAAAGATAGGAAGGAAATACTTGACAATAGTAAGAGTGGGTGGTATCACAGATAGCTTTTTCTTCTTCTTTTTGTTATCTGTTTTCTAAATTTGCTAAATATCCAGGCTGTTTCTCTGTACAAACACTATATATATTTAAATGAATTTATTTAATATGAAAATTTATTTAAATGAAATAACCATAATAATTTCAACTACACAAGAAAAAAGCAATGGAGAAAAATGTCACATGATGCAGATGTGGTTATAGAGTAGTAGAATTTTGGAAAATGGTTCTTTCCTTAATTCTTTGAATTTCCCACAACGTTATCAGACTATGATTTTTTAAAAATAAAAACTAATAACAATTGTTCTCTGTATATCCTTAACAAGTGATCTCACAGCTAAGGTTTATCTATGAGGACTTAAGTATAAAACTAGTTAGGCAGTGCACATGGTATTTGTATAGTGAAAAATTACAAACTACATAAATATCCAGAAATAGGAAAATGGTTAAAAAATTACATCATATCCAAAACAGAACACCATGCAGTAGATTCAGCGGTAAAATAACATACAAGATCTATCTATACCAACAAGATTATTAATAAAAAAAAGCTATTGCAGAATATTTCAAGTATAATTCCATCAATTTAAAGAAAAAAGCTGTTCAAAAAAATCAGCAAATATTTAGATGAAGATGAAAGTGTCATTCATCATTCATCACATACTCTACAAAGACAACCATTAACTAATAACAATTTGGTGTACAGCCTTCCACACATTTTCTATGCATGCACACACTTTTATTTAAAGAAAAGAAAGAGGAAGATGATGATTCTGGATGGTAACCAGCTTTCTTTTCTCTCAATACATGTTGAACATTTTCCCAAGACACTATTAATAGACCATTATTGTAATTTTTAATAGCTGCATAGTATTTCACTGAATGGCTATATCATTATCTAAAGTACTCTACTGATAGGCATTTATGTTGTCCTTATTTATTATGAGAGAACTGCTTCTTTGAATGGAAATACAAGCATAACTCTCTCTCTCTGACATACAGTTATCTCTAGGGGGTAGGAATAAAGAGTTTCATTTATAAGGTTTGGACAGTGAGCACTTCTGTTATCTTTTACAATCAGAAAAGAAATAAATTTGCTTTGATAAACAGTGTAGGAAGAAAGGAAAAGAGAGAAAAGAAACAACTGTGAGTGCAGACAGGACTTGCAGTGCACGCACACCCCTGGATGAGGTGGCATGTACTTACCTGATGCCAAAGACGCAGTGGATGTAGTTCCAGATGGCCCTGCGGAGCATGGAGGTGTCCACTCCGCTGTGCATGGCCATGGTGTTATAGGTGAGGCCATAGGCCGCCTGGAACTTCTCATCTAGCAGCTGTCCGCCTTCAGGGTAGAGCCGCTGGATCAGTGAGTATCCATGGTCTTCCCAGGTATAATCCTGAGAAACATGAGAAGGGGTGAGTGAGTGGAATCCTTGGGACCCAGGAGAGAGCCCACCCTCTGGAGCACACCTCCCCACCCCAAAAATCTAACCTACTGCTTGGTCTGGGCCTGAGAAACCAAGAGGCATGCAGACGGGTCTCTTCATGATCCAGGGTCTCCCACCTCCCTCATGGAATCTTGAGGGAGAGAAGGTGCCCAACTCTAACCACTCAAACAACTGCCCCCCCCCGGCCCCGCCCTGCTGGTAAATCCAGAGCAATGCCATGATTAGTGGGGAGAGCCCACCTGGGCACGGAAGGTGGGGGGTGCTTGAGCCCCTCGCCGGGTGAAGTCCTCGTATCCAAAAGTGGGGTCTTCTACAAAGCACAGCATGTCTGGGTGTGGAGAGGGCTCCAGAATGTCAGCTGCGGACATCAGAAAGAGGTCACAGTGAGGCCAAGGCATGGAGCACAGAGAGCCCTCCGCTCCTGGCTGATCATCAGTAGGGGGTCAGGCAGTGCAGAGCAGAGGCCAGAGAACGGCCCTTGCGCTACAGTGAGGGGAACCAGGACTCCAGATGGAGCCAGGCCTAGGGGAGGGGGTGAGCCAGGCCCATGAACCTGGGGATGAGACTAAGTAATAGTATTAGCAATCTTAACAGTAGCAGCTATTTCCGAAGCCATTTACCCTGGGCCAAAGCTTTGCTTTTCTTGTTCCATTTCCCCCACACATCAATTTTTCACATGGGAAGAGACTAAGGCCCTGAGGCAGGAAGTGATTTATCAGTGATCACACTGCCAGAAAGGCTAATGGGCCAGATCCAAACCCAGGGCTGACCCCAAAATACAAGAGATGCAGTGCACGGAGGTGCCTTCTCCTCAGCAGAGACAGCAAAGGATGGGGGGCAGCCCCATGAACCTGGACATCTGTGACCCCGTACCTGAGGGGGTCACCAGCAGGCTCTCTGACTTCTCCAGCTCAAAGCGGCTCTCCATCTCCTCCTGGGACGCTCCCTCGTCCCGCAATAGGCTCTCCTGAAGCTGCCTCATGCGTTCCATCAAAGCCTCCACGTCTCGGGCGGCCTCGAAGCCCTGGAGGAGGGACTCAGTGGTGACCATCTACTCCTCCCTCGGCCGCCCCGGGAAACTCCACTCATCTTCCCCACACGCCAGGTCCCCCCGAATGGGCAGCTCACATGGTCTGTGCTCTCCAAAATGAAGTTTAAGAAGCAACAGAACAGATATGTCTTCCCTGAGCATCGACTATCCTCACAGGTAAGGGATTTTTAAAGTGTCTCTATTTTCGTATTAAAACAAAAAAGGCCACCTTATAGAATAAGAGGCAAACTTTATATTTTAAAAGTGCTACAATGAGGAGACTTTAAGTCTATGGAGCTGCATGTTGAGAAGCCATTCACATGGTTATTTTATTTAATCCTCAAAACCCACTATGAAGTAGTAGTCTTTATCTTCATTTAATAGATGAGGGAATGGAACTTCAAAGTCAAGTAACTTTCCTAAGTCTCCTCACTGTGAGACAGGATGGCAAGCTACTCCAGCTTCCTCTCCCACCTAAACCCCAGGCGGGCGACTTACCCCAGAATTGTTCAACGAGTCCCTGCTGGGGGGGCTGTTTTGCTCGCTGGGGGGTGAAGGTGCCTGGGGGGCAGAGCTGCTCTCCGGGTCCCCCTCAGGGAGGATGCCACAGCCAAACACGAAGGAGGCCAGTGAGTGACAGTGGGTGAGCAGGACCAGGGCCTGGATGAGCTCGGCCAGGGACCAGCTGTGCTCGCCTGTCTTCAGCAAGGCCTGGAGAGGAAAAAGGCCAGACTTGCTCAGCGCTTGCCCCCGGGGCTGCCTGCCAAGCCGCGGCTCAGCCCCTGCGCTTCCTCGGGGTCCTGCCTCTCTGCCCACTGCACCTGGATATGCTCCTTGGTGATAAGCCACGGCCGATGTGCCAGCAACTTGTTGACCTCATTGAGCTTGCGCAGCTTCTCGGGGGCCCGGTGGAGGCCGAGCAGCCATTCAGGGTCACCGCCCGTCTGCAGAAACTCGGCCATGTGGGAGCCCACCAGGTAGGAACACTGGTGGCGGGCGGCAGCCTGTGGAGGTAAGGTCACGAGCTTAAGTCACACTATTCTTTCTGCGCCCTGCTCAGGGTGACTGCCGCGTGGAGGGTGACATCACAGGCCTCGCTCTTGTGTGAGAGGCAGAAAATTTCGGTACTAACCCCAGCCCTGTCACTGGTTGGGTGTCCTATGTTGGGCAGGTCATCTATTCCTTTATGCCTCAGTTTCCTGAGCCATAGGGCAGCCACTAAAGATGCCTCTCTTCAAAATCGAAGAGTCTATGGTCAGATAGAGGTAGGGCTTTCCTCTTTCTCCTCCTATACAGAATCAGTTCGGCACGTCCCCAGCAAAGAGATCTATGGCCTGAGCCCCCCGCAGTGCGGCCACCTCTGTGCGAGTCAGGCTCAGACAGGCTCACCATGATGGCAATGTAGTGGCGCCAGGAGCTGGCCAAGGGCCCGTCTGTGTGCAGCAGCAGGTAGTGCAGGCGCCAGAATCTGATGAGGTATTCGGGGTGCAGGCCCATCACCACTGCCAGGTTGTCCACCCGCCCAGACGACATCAGTGCCTCCAGTCCCAGGTTCTGCTCGGGGCTCTCGGCTCCCTCCTGAAGGACCTGCCAAGCAAAGGTGAGAAGGTGGGTTCCCCTCCTGTCCTTCCCACCGAGAGACCAACATGTTCACCGCCGCGGGATGATAACGGCAAGAAACTGAAAACACTGACCATGTCCCAAAAAGGAATATGAGAGTAAAAGATATTTCATTAAGTGATTAAATACTTATTAGACTCCTAATATAAATACTCTGGTTTCTCTTCAGATCGTATAAATCTTTAGCTTTGTACTAATATAATAATAGCCAATACTTACATAAGGCTTATGATGTGCCAAGCACTGGTTGAGCACTTTATATGTATTTACTCCTCTAATTCTTACAACTAAGAAATAAGAATTCTATTTTCTCCATTTTTAGATAGAAAAATTCAGGCACAGAGATTAAAATCTAGCTTCTCCTGCCTTCATGGGACTTCTGTTCCAACACTGCAAATCCATACAGCCATGGGAAATAGGGGAAAAATAGTTTATACTTCCTAAGTGATTTCTCCATGCCAGGGCTGAGTGTGGAGCTTCCCCTGCATTATTTCATTGAATTTTCCCAATTATCTTGTGAGGTGAACACTACTTCTTTCACTGATAGACAAGGACATCATGGCCCAGAGATTTCATTCCTTTTTCAAGGTTACAGATCTAGTAAATGACAGAATCAGCATCCAAATCTAGATGGACCCCCAAGTTTACTTCTTTTCTTTTTAATTTTTAAAATTTGTTTATTGATTTTAGAGAGCGAGGAAGGGAAAGGGAGAAACATCGATTGGTTGCCTCCCATACAAACCTGGACCACGGATCGAACCTGCAGCCTTTTGTTGTACAGGTTTACACTCCAACCAACACTCCTATGAAAGAAACAGGATTTGGCTCTGGCCAGTGTGGCTCAGTTGGTTGGAGCATCGTTCCGTACACCAAAAGGTTGCAGGTTCGATTCCTGGTCAGGTTGTTGGTTTGATGCCCAGTCAGGTTCCTACGGGAAGCAACCAATGGATGTTTCTCTCTCTCCCTTCATCTCTCTCTAAAATCAATAAATACATCCTTGGGTGAGGATTAAAAAATATATGAATAAAAGGGGAGTAGTTATTTCTAAATGAAAAAATAAAATACAAGAACAATACCTGGGCTTAAAATTCTAGGCTACAGACTGGAATGATCAGCAGTGGTTGTTTACTTTCCATTTACAAAGAGTGGAGGGAACTGGGGGGCTTAAACATTTGTTAACAGCTCATTAACTATTTGGCCTACATATTTAGGAGAGAAAAGAGAACAGGGAAACAAAGTATCTGTCTTTGGTCATTGAGGGCTGAAGAAAAGGGAGGCAAATATTTTTAAAATTTCCCTGTGCCTGTACAGGCATCCCCACCCCCACACTGGAACGTCAGCTCTGGGATGGCAAGGATTTCTGTCTTGTTCTCTGTTGTATCCCCAGCGCCTAGAACAGTGCCTGACTCAGATCAAACATTCAATAGATAGCTATTAAATGAATGAATGACCTGCCTCAGTAAATGAAAGAGTTCTCTATTGTATTAGGTGAAAAAACAAAACAAAACAATAACCTCCCCCCAAAAACATGCTATAAACTATGACCTTGGTTCTGTGTGAAAAAAAAAGTCCAGGAAACAACAATTACCTTTGGGAGGGTGGGGGTGGGACTACAAGAGACTGCAGTTTTCTAAAACATTGGAAAATTTGTAAATAATGAACATATACTTTTGAAGTAAAAAACAAAACAAAACAAAAACTTTTTGTAATGTATGCACAGCCAAAGGTGAGAAGATAAACACAGATGGCTCTAACTTCTTGAGGAAAAGCAGGCCTTGTCCTGGGAATCAAAAGTTTGTTCATTACCTAGTGTGTCATTATCACTTTATCTCTTTGAGCCTGTTCCTTTCCAACAAAATGGGGTTGATTTGCCAGTGCTGTTTTGTGGATTGAATGAGTCAGGAACCTGAAGGGGTAGTTTCAAAACTGCTATTTCAAGAGATAGGAAAAGACCCTAACCCACCCATCTGTCCCTTCTTCCCAGAGACCAACAGGTCCCTAACCCCTTCCAAGCTTACCTCCTCCACTGGGATGAAGGCGCTGGGCCCACGGGGGCCTCCCCGGGCTCGCCTCTCCCTCTGCTCCTGGAAGGAAACACATCACGGTTAGTTGGAGGTAAAGGGGAGGTCTAAAAGGATAGCTCTCTCTCCAGTTTTCTCCTCCTACCTGAGGGGCCACACTGAGGTTTAAAACCCCCTTTCTGGTGCAGTCTGCAAGGAGGAGGGGGGTGGGGATAGATACCTGTTTGGTGGGTGGAGACAGGGTAAACAAGAGAGAGCGCGCACCCTACAGGCTTAGTTCTTCAGGAACTGGGCAGGGGACCAGGAAGCCCCAGTACTGGGGGAAGGGAAATATATAGCCACCATGCTGCGTATATCCAAGAGACCGCTTTCTTGGCAGCCATATACGAACCTCCCTCATTTACATCCTGAAACCAAGTTGCCAAGTACCCTACATTCCTATGTGGCAGCTCAGTCTCTCTCAAATTGTCATTTCTTCACCCCTCCTGCCATCGCCACCTCACAGACCACAGCTATCTCTTTGCTGGACTACCAACCACAGCCTCACGAGTGGTCTCCCTGCCCTATCCCATCCCTCCTCTACTAACTCAACAAAACAAATGAATAAATAACCCCTGCTCCACTTCTAGGACTAGGAGCAGATTAATTGAGTACATGACCCTGGTGGTTTCTAAAGACGGCAAACTTTCTGCAGCCAGAGCAAACTTTCTTTAAGGGCAAATCTGATCAGGTGGCTTAAAACCCTGCCTCTACCTCCCATAGCTTTTGAGATAAATTAGAGTTAGTCAGGTCCACTACCACCCTCCCACTAGTCACTCCTTTTACAGAGCTAACTGACAGTCTTCCAGGGTCTGGGAAACGTCTTTCAGACCCTCATCTGTGACCCCACAAGTCCCAGCGCTTTGCTTCTGAAAACAATGTCTTCTAATTGTCTGAATTAGGTCTCCTTACTACCAGATCAAATTTTGTGGAGAGTAGGGCCAGGCCATTCATACGAGCCCATGAATGAGGAACATAAAGAAAGCAGAGAGCCACCAAGGGAATCCAGGCAGGGCATACGCGGCTGACAGTGGCAGCTATACTCACGCGTATGTGTTGGAGCCTATTTGGAAACCACCAATTATATACTCACTAAGTCTGCTTCTACATCTAGAGGTGAGGTTCATGAAGGATGTTTTACATAGTTTTGAACACTGGGAAGGGGGTTCTCGGCATTGGCCTTAGAGTTTATCCAAGCAGTTATAGCCTCACTGGACAGAAATAATGTTTCCCTAACTCTCTCCCTCTCATTAAAATCCAGAATTATTACTAATAAACCCAGGTGTCCAGGAACTAAAGGTCATAAGTGACCCTTCACGCTCAGATAGCCAAAAGCTCCCCGAGGGAGGCAGAGGTCTGCTGCTCTGAAAGAGGACAAATAACAATGGGACCTGGATTTCCAGGGTGTGAATAACAGCTCTGCCACTAACTTGATGCGTGACTCTGAGAAGGCAGCCTAAACCCTCTGGGCCTCACCCCTGGACAAAGAAAGCAGTTGGGCTGATTGCTCAGGCCTCTTTCAGCCCACACTTCTAGGAGCTACCAGGCCAGGCTCCTCCAACGAGTCCAGCATAGAAACCACCACAAGCCCCAAGCACTCGCGTTTTAGCTTCCCTCCTCCCTCACCAAAGAGAAAAAGCCTAACAGCTCTGTGTGGGGAGATAAGAATTGCTGACTCCACAAAAAAGGCTCCCCCTCAGGGGATCTGAGGACAGAGAAAACCACAGCCAGGTGGGGTGGGGAAGGGCAGGGTGGAACTGGGATTTGGGGGTTGGGGGGACCAGGAAAGCCCACTAGGGTGCTAGAGGGGTATAGGAAACAGCCTTGGGTGTCCCTTCTCACTCTAAAATCTGTCTCATGCACTGTCAAGGGGAACCTGTTGGTCTTTAAGTGACAGGTCTGGATCCACCAACATGTTCAGCCCTGATGGTGATAACAGAGTACAGGAAAAGGTCGGAGCTCCTGACAACCACCGCCTGGGCTCAAAGGATATCGCCCCCACCATCTGCTACCTATGTGAGCCTCAGTTTCCTCGCCAAATAATGGGGCTAATAGTACCTACTTTCACTGGGTAGTCATAAGGATTTAATCAGATAATGCCCTTACCTCAGTACATCTATCACAGTAAGCACTTAATACAAGTCAGCTATCATTAATCTGAATGTTGTTTCAAACAATGGCTTCTCAACCCAAGCAGTCCTTCAGAATCCCTTTGAAAGCTTTTTAAAAATACCAATGCCAAGATCTCATCTCTAGCAATTCTAATTTAATTGGGTGAGCATAGCATAATTTATAGCCAGTGTGCATAAGGCATTGTGCTAAGGGCTTTCCAACTGGAACCAAAATTAATCTGTTCATTCAATAATGTTTTTGATGACCACATTTCAGGCAACAACAGTCCAGGGGTAAAAAGACAAAGTTTTGGCCTTCACAGAATTTACACTCTAATAGAGAAAGATGAATAAACAAATGATAAACAGGATTTCAAAACACAGATTATATAAAGAAAGTGGAATAGAGTAATGAGAGAGTTTACGATGGGATGCGGGCGTGTGCAATTCTGTGGTCTGAGTAAACAGGGAAAGCCACTGAGGAGGTAACTTTTGAGTTGCTATCTAAACATCTAAATGAGTTTATTAGGCAGCAGGGCCTATAAAGATGTAGTGGACCAGCATTCCAGCCAAAGAATAGAAACTGCGAAGCTTTGAAGACAAGACCAAGTAGATTCTTATCCAGAGCTCCGATGCCTTGAATGCTTCCCTAACCCTGACACCCAGAACTTCATGAGAAGCAGAGGAGGCACTGTCCCAATTCCAAGCAATGCCCCCTGGCAAATCAGCCCTCCCCTATTCCCTGGGATAAGAAGTCAATAATAATAATGGCAGGTAACAACCGTGATTAACACCAGTGAAGCATTTATTTCACATGCACTTTTAGGCAGGAGCTACTGCCAGAGTTCCTATTTTACGGAAGAGGAATAAGGATCAGAGAGATCAAGTCATTCCTGGTCACTGAGCCAGTAAGGAGGTAGCAGAGTTGGGATACAAACCAAGTATTCCTGTTCTCTGAACTTCTCAAGGTCTCAATAGCCCCGATGCTTTGCACCTGGGGTTCACTAGGGTTGAGAGGTTCCTTCGCCTGCCCAAACCCTAGGAAACCCACTGCCGCCAATCTCAGAGCCTGCCATGCTGTGTTGTTTCTTACGTTGAGGGTGTACCCTGGAACTAGTTCTCTATTGTAACCCCCAGTGTCTAGCACAGCACTGTCCAATAGGCCTTTCTGCAATGATGGAACAGTCTTTAACAAAGACAGTAGCCCCTAGCCATGGTGGCTGACCAGTTGAAATGTCACTAGTGCAACTAAAAAACTGAATTTTAATTTTTTAAAAAAATTATCAAAATTTTAACAGCCATCTGTGGCTTAAGGCTGCAGTATTGGAAAGTGCAGTTTCAGCACACCTGATAAAGGCAAGAGCCCACCCCCACTTCACAGATGAAAAAAACCATATAACTGAGGCGGCAGGAGACCTTTCCAAGGTAACACAGCCAGTACAGGCAAAGGGAAAGACCAATGGTGACAGTTCCTATAGTTCCAACTGAGGGGTCCCTTGGAGCAGCAGGAACACCATTCAGACAGCGCCCTGGGTGGCCACTCAACAGAGAGGGCTTCAGGCAAGGTGTAAAAAGAGGATAATCACCTGAGAGCCCAGTGCCTGGCTCCTCATTTAAGCACTTGCTAAATGTTAACTTTTGTATTAGCTCAGACACTTTTATACAATTTCCATCTAATCTTCATCAGTTTTGGGGTGGGGTGGGGGGTCTCTAGTTTGCACTAAAGAAGAGATTAAGGTTCCAAAGGTTAAGTACCAGATGACAAGTGGCCAGTCTTGAGATTTCAACTCAGCTTAGTCTAGCTTCCAAGGGTTCTGTCCCCCACCCACACCAGGCTCTTGGAATGGCTCCAGCTTTATTTCCTGGTATCCTACTCACAGCCTGCAACCCCCAGGACTCAGCTACAGACACCTACGAAGTCACTCTGGCAGCTGGGAAAGAGCAGAGACTGCCCCACACCCATCCTGTGGGCAGCTGTGGTCTGCCGCATTCAGATACCTGCCTGTGCTTACACCTGAGAGGGAGACATACCGCATGAGGCCTCTGACCAGCCTTGGGGCAGGGGCTTGTGAGTGGTGCCACAAACTCACCCTGTGCTGGGCACCAGGCTAAGTGCTTTACACACCTGAACTGGCTGATTTCTCGCAACCATGTGGAGGGAAAGAGGTCGTATTACCCCTTCTTCAGAGACAGCTTATTGAAGCTCTTTCTGAGCCCTGTTCCAAACAGGCACAGCTCAGATCTGACATCAAAGCCAGCAGAGTTCACAAGGGTCAGCTAAGCCAACAGGGGCAAATAGTTACAAGCACTTACTAGGTGCTAAGAACAGTGCTGGGATGTGACCTATAGATTGCTTCTAGTCCAGCAAGGGAGACAGACAAGAAATGCCTGATTATACAATTGTTACATTATAATTAGGATAAAAGCTCATACAAGGGAGAAGGGGGACTGGAGGAGGGTATGCAGGAGGGACCTATCTGGTGGGGGAGGAAAGGCTTCCCTGAGGAAATGTTTGAAGAAGTGATTCTAGACCCTAAAAGGACTGTGAAAACATACTACCAATACTAAAGTGTCTAAAGGCCTTGACCCCTTGAAGGGGTGTGTGTTGAAATGATAGGAATTGAAGGGACTGTACATGTGGATCTTCTCTTGGTCCTTGGGCTACCAGGCTTTGTAAGTTTGGCACCCTGCCATCTTCTAAGGAATCTACTTAAAGCAGACATCTTCCCAAGGTCCTCTTTTCTTGAGAGAGAATTTATAGAAAGGGTTCAGACATCACCTACTTTCCCCCCTGCAGACGCATCTTCCATCTAAAGGCCACTCCCTCACAGCTTGCCCAGACCACTTCCCAGGCACTGTCCCTGAGAGGAATGGACCAGCTCCCACCTCAGCAGGAGGGGCAGGCTCAGGCACACCCTGTAAGACACTCTGGGGCAAAGAGAAATGTGTGATGGTCACATCCTAACAAGAGCTGGCATGTTTGACACAGTTACTATGTTCCAGGCACTGTGCTTTGGCCTTTGCTTATGTTCTCAGTCAATTCTCCCAAATATCCCTCAGAGATACTACTATCAAAGCTCCATGGGAGGACGGTGCAGATCAGAGAAGTGATCACATCACTTGGCCAAGGTCACACAGCGAGTGAGTGGGAGGGCTAGTGCATAAACCTGGAGCTCTGCCCAGGTGCTCTTAATAAATAACATTACAGCAGGTCCTTAAATAACATCGTTTCATTCAACATTGTTTACATCAATTAGTCTATGGTAAGACTGATTTCCTTATGCATCGTTTTGCTTGAAGTCAAAGAACCTAAAGACAACGTTAAGTGAGGACTTAACTGTATTTCCACCCCCCACGCTCCCCCTCACCCCCAGAGAAGGAAACAGACTCGGAGCAGAGTGACTTGGTCAAAGTCACACAGCTGAGAATTGGCAGAAGCAGGTTTTGTTTCTCCCCGTGGTGCTCTTAAACCGTGGTGAAGGGTAAATAAGCTAATAGAAAACCCCGGACACAAACCATCCACTTCTGGATGTAGGACCTCCCCGGGAACCATACTGCTCAAAGGAATCCCAGCGATTTTCCCAGAGTCACCATTTAGGACCAGCCACTGCCTGACTCCCAGCCCCAGTTATACATTTGTGCCACTCTCCATGTCTGGAAACTAAAGAAACAAGTAAAACTCCCTGTACTGCCAAACTGATTTGGAAATCCTAGACACCCAGGCCAAAAACGGAGCTACTCGGTGAGGTTAGTGAAGGAAGCTTCTCCAAAGTCCCTCCTGGACCTCAATTTTGTCATCCTGTAAAATGGGACTATAGTATAGTTCGTATTTTGCTAGGTTAGTCCTGAGGACTCAGAGAAAAGGCAAAACCCGAGTCTGGCTTCTAGTAGGTGCTTTATAAATGATAAGATGTTAATTATCGATGAAGGTGGAGAGGGCGTGGGGGAAGGCGAATTGCCAGATTAGGCCCGGCGTTATTCCTAGCCTCACTGCAAAAGGAGTCCCTGCTAAACAAACTTCTGAGACCTCAGACCACTCAGAAGGGCACAGCATAAACTGCGCTTGGCTCTGGAGCGGTGGCCAGGATTTTCACCCTCTCCCCAGAGCTTTGGCCGCTGCCGCCGCCGCCTACCCGGCAGTCAACCAAGGCCCGGAAACACCCGCACCCCCTTCCCAATTCGGGGTGCAGACAGGGTAGGAGGACGAGGTCAACCTTCGTTGGCCAGTCCCAGGTGCCTCATTTCCCGCGCTGGGGGACTGGAGCGGGGACGTATCCTACCTAGAAAGAGTCGTCCGCCCGCCAGCCCCAGCCCAGAGGAAGGGAATCTGCGGAAGGGGGCGGAGAGGAGGAGTGGTTGGGCCGCTGCGGCCGGGATTTGCCTGGACTTGATGACTCTCTCCACCAGAGCCCAAACCTAAGGAAACCTCGAGAAGACTCTCCTCTCATTGGCCAGGAGTCCGAGGGAGCCCAGGAGGGCTCCACAGCCCTGGGGGGAGTGGGGGAGGGAAGGGGGCGGAGAGGGCCGAGGCTGCCAGTTGATGCAACCCCACTCCTGGTTTACGCGCTCCACTCTCCCTCCGCGATCCCGGGCGGGGTGGGGGTGGAGGTGGGGGTGGGGAGGGGGAGTGGCGGCTCACCGACTTAGCTCAGGCTAGCCCGAAGCTCGGACGCGGCTCGGGGTTCAACGTAAAAGTGGCGTGGCTTGGCCGCTGCTTACCTCTCCGGCTCCAGGGCCGCCGCCGCCGCCGCCCCGGGAGAACGGCAGGTAGCCCTTAAGCTCCGCGCGGCATTCGGAGTCCGCAACGATCATGGTGTGCGCCAGGACCCAGCCGCCGCTCGCCGACGACCAGTGCACCGGAGGCTGTTGTGGACGGACGCACGCAGGAAGCCGGGATTAGGGGCCGCTGGGGAGGTTCTAGAACCCTGGGCTATCTCCCAGGGTTCCAGAACGCTCCGAAAGCCCAGAATCCGGGAACGGCCGCTGCCTCGCTGGACTCTCCTCTCGTCCGGCTTCTGGAGCGGTGAATGGCCTCGGAAGCCTGGGTTCGGCCGCAGCGCACGGGTTTTCACGGCCCAGAGTGCCTCTGAAGTCCGCAGTGGCAAGGACTGCTCGCGGACCCAGCGCTCCTCAGCATCCCCGCCGTGGAACTGCCAGCGCTCGCCGGGGTCTGACACCAGCAGCAACGCTCAGCTCGCTGCGGTCCCCGGAGGAGGGCGGGGACACAAAAGCCCCAAGCTGCAGCCAATCAGATGTCTGTTTCCTGGGGAGGCGGAGCGACACCCCCTCAGGAGCTGGCGGTTTAGCCAATCCACGGCGAGAAGCGCCCGGGAACTCTGGGAGCTGTAGTCAGCCCGCGGCGAATGCTGCAAACTTTTGCAAAAGGATTTTGTCAGATTGTTGGCAATACCGGACGAGAGTGACAGCTCCGAGAGTCATTGCAGCTGCATGATGAAACGGGACTTCACCGGGCTGGGCCGGAGAGCCGGGTGTGAAATCCCTCCTAATTACGTTCTTTAGCTTTTCAGTTCCTGGAGGGACTGGTTAGGGTTAGAAGAGGTGATGCTAATTATAGAGGCAGACCGGGGCACAGCCCTCTTCCCCTGGCCTCTGGGAGGGCTCCACCTTAAAATGTATCAGACAGAGAGAATCCACCTCATTTGTAGAGTCTCTGGAAAAGCCTTCATCCATTGAAATACCCTTGGCAACTCCCAGTCTAACCTCAATCCCTATTGCGGCAGGCAGTTGTCCCCCTCTGCTCCCTTGGACCTCAGGCCTTTTTTCCATCCCTGCCACCCCTTTCTAGAAACTTTGTGACAAGTCAGTCTCCAGGGTCTTTTCTCAATTCTTTCTGGGGCCACTCCTTCTCTGACTCCTCTTTCTCCTCCCACCCCCAGGAACGTGGGCGTTACCCTAGTTTCTGTTTTTATACCTCATCTCTCCAGACATACCCTCCCTCCCTGATCTCATCCATTTCATGGCCTTCAACCCTTCCTTTGCGAGGAAGTCGCTTCCACCAGCTCCTCAGCACCGGTAAGCTGAATTCATCTTCTTCTGTCCCCTTCCCACAGATCCTCTTCCTTAACAGTTTTTCTTCAGATCTCCACTTTTTTTGATGTTGTTGTCTCCATTTTAAAGTCATTGTCAACTCTGGATAGAAAATCATGGCTTGAGTGCGGGTGGACTAAATGACCTCCAAGATTCCCTCTGAGACTTTCTGAGTCTAGGCTTACAATTCCAGAGGTGAACCTCTGACTTGGTCTCCTGCCACCTCCAAGAGAAGGAAATTAATCTCACCCTCTGCTGAGCTCCCAAGGTACTTGAGCTAGGTCTCCTTTATAACACCTACATCTTTCTACCTTGTATTGTAATTTTCTGTGTATATGGATTATCTGACGCTTTTGATTTATGAGCCCCTTTAACGGCAGGGTCCACATCTTGACATCTTTGTCCTCTGCCCTACGCCACCTAGCACTCTGTTCTGGCCTTCAAGACTTTCTTCCAGCAGTTCCCTCTGCAAATCTCTGCCCACTGAAATCCTACTTAGCATTCAATACCTTCATGCATGTTTGTGGCCTGAATGAAGGCTTCAAAATGCCACTTCCTACAGAAAACATTGCTTCTTCAGCTCAGCTGAAAGTCCTCTCACCCACTCCTCAACACATTGTTCCACCTCTTTGTACCACTGGTTTTCAAGTTGGTGCAGCCTTGTTATATCCACATCCCTTACTGCTTCCCTCTAATAAACAAACAATGGAATATGTTATTGACCACTTTTTTACCTTTATTGTATTTTTTTCCATTACCATTTAGTCCCCTTATACCCCTTTCCCCCAGCAATCACCACACTGTTGTCCACGTCCATTCGTCCTATTTCCTTTTGCTCAATCCCTCCACTCCGTAATCGCTCCCCCCTGACTATCTGTCAAAGGTAAGAAACTTGAGCTTACTTAGAAAGGTAGCCCTGGCTAGGTAGCTCAGTTGGTTAGAGCATCATCCTGATACACCAAGGCTGCAGGTTCAATCCCAGGTCAGGGCACATATAAGAATCAACCCTTGAATGGATAAATAAGTGGAACAACAAATTGATGTTTCTCCCTCCTCCTTCCCCTCTTTCTCTAAAAGCAATTTTTAATAAAAAGTAAATCTTTACATCAGGGTCATATAATATCTTCTTTTGATTGCACCAGTCCATGTCAGAGCTCCTTTAAAGAAGGGACTGTGTCCAATTGTCTCTGTATCCCCCACTATCATACAGCAATTCCTCAGTAAATATAGTATTTTTGAGTGAATGAATATGAATACTCTGCTCTGTAGAATTTTCAAGGAAGTGACTTCTACAAGGAGGTGACTAAATCATTTCCAAGGCTTCACTTACAAAGTTAGTGATTTTGTGAAGAATAAAAGCAATACTGATATTCTAAATTGGATAAGTTTTCGTGACCCAGTCTCCAAGAAAGGAAAGCTCAAAAGAGGCACAGATATCCCTACCAGTAGTCCAGGCTACATATGTTATTCACGTAACTTTCACCCCAACCTCGTGAGGTAGGCATTATGCCCCCACTTGACATATGAGGAAACTGAGGCTCAAGAGGTGTCTTGGCCATGGTCAGAGAGCTTAGTAATAAATATATTGGGAAAAGATTCAAACTCAGGCAGAAATTACTCTAGAGCAGAAACTCCACTGCACCACCGATGAGAGAAGGCACTGAATATATAAGGAGCACGATGGACCACGAAACTAATGTGTAAAGCAGATTTCCAATATATTAATCAGGAGTGAGAAACACAATTGTCAAGTGCCTATAATTGATGGGCCAGAACATCATGCCTTTTCATAGGAGAGTCTCCATGAAAAGCCAAGTTATCATCTGAAGGTGGTTAGAGTAGCTGGAATCTGAGCAAAAGGAACCAATAAAAAGATGAATCATTGAACTGTCTCCATGCAGAGCAAACCTGCTGGTCAGTGCTCCGGGTTTTTCCTTTTCCCTTTCATTCAGTAAATATTTGTTGACCATCTAGCATGTACCAGGACTCTGGAAATCCAGCCAGTAAAGCTTCCAGCCCAGTGGGGCATGGCCCAGTGACCCTGGCTGAGTTTATTCCTCCCCTCTCCTAGGCCTAGTACTTTTGGCTCAGTAAAGATCTCCACCTTCTGTTGCCATACTCTCTTTGCATCAGCCATGCCAAGGCTACTAATTGGCCGAATCTTTTGTTATCGGTCAATCACATTGCTGACCTGAAGATACGTCTAGATTGGATTTGAAATGTTTTTGATTTCCTCAGTTTCAAACCCTCTCTCAGATTTTAACCCTAATGGAAGTCTCATCTGTTTTGTATTTATTCTTTCTGAATTAATTTCTAATTGCAAATTATGGGATCACATTGCTATAATGACTTTGTCTCTGACTATAGCTGGGGCTGTGATTTATCACCCAGATGTAATTTTCTGAGCTCTTCTCATTTTTCTCACCACACTCTCCCTCTACCATCTCAGGATAAAATTCCTGCCTTGAGGGAGCTTTCAGGAAAGAAGCCCAACTCCAACAGGTTTAATAAAGCCAAAAGCAGACTCACCCTCTGTGGCTCATTCACACATCCATCCATTCAATCACTCATTAAGCAGGCATTGTGGTAGGTGCTGAGGAAAGTCCTCCAGAGCTGACAGGTGCTGAGCTGTGGAGCTACACAATTAAAATTAAAATTGTCCCCTGGAATTGTGCATCAGGGAGCAGAACAACCACAGACTCTCAGAAACAAAGCCAGCTATCTCTTAAGAGCATTGCCCAGGAGTCCTAGTTTTTAGCTATGTGACCAAAGAGGTTTTCTTTTCAGCCCTTAGAATCTGTTTTCTCATCTGTAAAACAAAGGAATTGGAAATTAGCTCTAACCCTCTAGAGCCACTGTGGAGAGGACTGGTGTTGGGCAATGTATTTAATTTGGTTTCATCAATTGTATACGTGGACAGAAGCCAGGTTTCAAAAAGCTCACCCCTCTTAATAAAAATAAATCAAATACAAAAACTGACCAGCTAAGTGCTTTCGGATAATTCACTAAGAATCCCAATTTGGCTTTGTTGCTGAGTGAGCCCTCAGCGCCCCCTACAGGCGGGACCATGCTACAGCTTAGGATAGCCTGGGAAGAAGGGTGGATGAGGGCCTCCCCAAACCGTTTTGAGTTTATGGGATTGCGAGGTCCCTTGCCGCTGACTGAAGGTCCTGAAAAGAGGCCAGGCAAACAGCCAAGTAAAGATTCCGTGGTTGCTGTTGCTGGAAGAGTCCCCTGCTGCCAACAGGGACCAGACTCCCCAAAGCCCTCTCAGCCTGAACGCACTTCCAATTGTTTTGGATTACTACTGCATTTTACGGGCAGGAAGCCTGAGGTCCAGAGAGTTGGTCACAGACCAGAGACGAGAACCTTGGGGTCCAGACCCTCAGTCCAGGGCCACTTGCATCGAAAGAGGCTGCCCCAGGAGTGACATATTTCCAGGAAGAACAGTTCCCTTTGTTCTGGTGTTTTCCCCTCTGTGTTTACCCGTCTCCACTTCTAGAGTCTTCACTTCTAGAGGCCCTACAATGCGAGATCAAACACCTTGAGGCTGTCCCTGGAGCAAAGCACCTGGCCCTTGCTACCACCCTGACCTACCTCTTCCTACACTTGAGATTTCCCTATCCCTCAAAAAACCTGTACTTGGGATAGGATATCAAAGTGGAAGTTTCCAGTTCTAAGCTTTCCTGACTGTGTGAACCCGGGCAAATCACATCACCGTTCTGAACAAGTTTCCTGCTGTGTAAAATGGGGCAATAGAGTTTACCTCTACTGGGGCTGTGGTGAGGATGATAAAACGAGCCTTAATACAAAGTGCTCAATAAACTGTGATTACTATTTATACTGTTACTGTTGTAAAAGTATCTGTGCTGGAAGATGGGGGGTATTCAAGAAAGATGGTTATAATCATTAATGTTTAAAAGCGTGGAACACGGAGTGTAGCATTCACCAGAAACTGAATACGTAAACGGAGGTTGTACTTTTGCTTTTTTGACCCAAATTCTCCCCGTACCTTTGCAGTGCTAACGTCTCTTTTGAGGGAAAACTGCACCACTTATTTTTGCTCAGCAACAGGCTCCTCTTACGTAAACCGCCGAGGCCAGTGAGCAGGAAGATGGGCGGGGTTATCTGGC